GTCGGACCCCTCCCCCCCCCGCAGAAGAGTTTAGGAGCACTGGTCCTGATCCCTGCCTCCTCCCAGGGGGGCCCGCCAGCGCTGCCTCTTTCACTTCCTGGCCCTTTTGACTGCTGCTTTGCAGGCAGGACTTGCAAGCGCCTCACCTGTCGGACGCCCGCCTGCCCTGTCACCTGTAGCTCTTTGTTTCACTCCGCAAAAGTGCCACCTCTAACTTTTGATCGAGGAGTTAGAAGGAGAGGAGAGCGGAGTGGGGCACGAGGTGGGTTTATGAGGCAGGGAGAAAGTTTGTCGTCTGTTCTGCAGTGTTCTGGGTATGCACACACACACACCCGCCGGCTTCTGTCTTTGTCACCCTTTGGGTTCCAGCCCTCCTCTATCTCTGCAGACTTTTGGAATATCCTGTTGGCCGCCGGACAGTCAAACTACCTGCCTGTTTGCAGGCCGGCCATGCAACATAACACCAGTGTTCCCTCTACGCTGAATGAGTGTGAGCTAGCTCACAGGTTTTTTTAGCCTCCGGGTCACACCTTTTCTTCTCAGGTCAGTAAGGAAGGCTCCAGAGCAAACCGATTTCTGCAGCAGCCAACTTTAACGCCAAGTAGCTCACAACTTTAGCTCCCAACTTTAACGCCAAGTAGCTCACAAAGCAGAATTTTTGCTCACAAGACTCCACAGCTTAGAGGGCGGCATTGCACAGCATGCAAGCAAAGTTTGCCCGTCCGGAGGTGCACTTAGAGGTGTGTGGGGGGAAGCAGGGTATTGGCCTCTGGTCCTTAGAACCACAGCCTGCTTCTGGTCTCATGAATGAAGCGCTGGGGGGGGGGAAGGGGGTTTGCGTTCAGCTGATTTGAGACAAAACCGCCGTCCTCCTCAAGGAGATGTTCCCATTCTTAGCAGTCTGAGGGGGCGGGGCTGCGGCTCGGGGGCGGAGCCTCTGCTTGGCACGCAGAAGGTCCCAGGCTCAGTCCCCGGCATCTCCAGCTACCTTGGGTCAGATAGGAGGTGCTGTGAAAGTCCTCTGCCTGCCTGACACCCTTCTTTTACTGTGTACTGGTCAATGACTGTAATAAATTTACTTACTTACACCCTGCTGGTCTGAGCAGGCAATACTGGCCTCGACGGTCCGATTCAGCAGCAGGCAGCCGTGTCCCCTGTAAGCTGGGTCAGTGTGAGCTAGCTCACAGTTTTTTAGCCTCCGGCTCACACATTTCTGTCTTAGCTCAGGAAGGATGGGGCTCCAGAGCAAACTGATTCATGCAGCAGCCAAATCGCTCACTCGCAACTTTAAGAAGAAGAAGAAGAGGAGGAGGAGATTGGATGTATACCCCCTGCCCTTCACTTGGAGCCTCAGAGCAGCTTACAAACTCCTTTCCCTCCCCCTCCCCACAACAGACACCCTGTGAGGTGGGTGGGGCTGAGAGAACTCTGACACAAACTGCTCTTTCAGGAACAGCTGTGCCAGAGCTTGTGACTGACCCGAGGTCACACCAGCAGCTGCAAGTAGAGGAGTGGGGAATCAAACCTGGTTCTCCCAGATCAGAGTCCGCACACTTAACCACTACACCAAACCACTGCAACAGGTAGAATTTTTGCCCACAAGACTCCGCACCTTAGCGGGAGCGTTGGCTGGCAGGCAATATTGTGTGTACCTGTGACGACCTCTTATTTGGGGAGGTCTGGTTCTCCTTTAAAATGTTCTTATGTTATATTTTACTTTGGGTATCCAACTGCCACCAGGAATATTTATCAGGCTTTCCACACCTTTATACTAATATATTTCTTCTTCTGGTTTTGGTATTGTGACCCCAGGGTCTGGGCTTTTGAAGGACTATGTGTTTCCTGGGAAGAATTTCGTTCAGAACTTGTGTCTTAAATAAAAGTAGATTTATTTGATGTTCACACACTCTTCCCTCTTATTGACAGGGATCAGGGCATGTCACTTTGTAACAATATTTTCCTTAGGCCATATATGGTTACTGTTTCTTTATGCTTTAACTTTTCATAACACACACAAGACTTCTCTCTCTCTCTCTCTCTTTAAAACGGACAAACTGCTTAACTCTTATCACACACAGAACCAAATCTTTCCCACACAGGGATTGAGTCTCCTTCAACTCAGAGACAGCACTTAACTCCTATCAACTGCTTTTTACACAGCACTCTGCTCTGACTAACTGTCGTGTGTTCTTTTTGAAAGGGGGGGGCTTGTGAAAGAGCAGCCAGATATTCACCTGACCGGGCTGGAGCAGGTGCTTTCGAAACTGCTGTGGGTGCCCAGTGGCTTAAAAAGTTTCTGCTGCTTCTGCACAGAGCGGCATCTTTTGTCTCCCGGCCAGACCGAAGGATAGAAAAGGAGCAAGAGTCCAGAGTTCGAAAGGTGCTCGTGGACTCTTGCTCTTTTCGACGGCCACAGGCGGACTCACACGGCGACCCATCTTGATCGAACTGCCTGAGAGCAGCATTTTGAATCCAGTGGCACCTGTAAGACCAACAGAGTTTAATTCTGAAAGGGGCAAATGGACTCAGACTTGGTATCCGAAGAATCGTACGTGCACACAAAACCTTATCTCCAAAATAAAGTCTTGTTGGTCTTAAAGGTGCCTGACTGGACTCAAACTTTGTTCTGTTGGTTCTCCCACTTCATACCACCACGCTCCCCTCACCCAAATCGATCTCCATGAAAGAGGAGGATGGTTTTCTGTTTGATTGACAAACCATGTATTTCTTTGTTGGTTTATTAACTTCACGTTTATCCGTGGACCCACCTGGAGGTTCGGGAAACTCACCGGGAACCAGGACCAATTTGGGGGAATTAAGCTCGGTGTTCGGAGAAACCTCTTCCCACTAGCATGGAAGCAGTGTTCCCGCTAAGCTGAGCTAGTGTGAGCTAGCTGGCAGTTTTTTAGCCTCCGGTTCACACATTTTCCTCTCACCTCAGGAAGGAGGGCTTCAGAGCAAACTGATTTATGTAGCAGCCAAATCGCTCGCTCACAACTTTAATGCCAGTAAGCTCACAAAGTAGAATTTTTGCTCACAAGAGTCTGCAGCTTAGAGGGAGCATTGTATGGAAGACTGGGAGAGCAGAATGTGTGGTTTAGGGACCTTTACCTGGAAGGTGGGCAAGGACCTGAAGACATGTGCCTTGCACATGAAAGCTGCTACCAGTTTGGTGTTGTGGTTAAGTGCACGGACTCTAATCTGGGAGAACCGGGTTTGATTCCCCACTCCTTCACTTGCACCTGGCTGGATGACCTTGGGCAAGCCATAGTTCTGACAAGAGCTGTCCTTGAAAAAGAGCAGCTTCGGTCTGAGCTCTCTCAGCCCCGCCTACCTCACAGGCAAGGCTCCCTCTAAGCTGTGGAGTCTTGTGAGCAAAGATTCTACTTTGTGAGCTACGGGCATTGAAGTTGTGAGCGAGCGATTTGGCTGCTGCATAAATCAGTTTGCTCTGGAGCCCTCCCTTCCTGAGCTCAGACAAAAATGTGTGAGCTGGAGGCTAAAAAACTATGAGCTAGCTCACGCTCACTCAGCTTAGAGGGAACACGGCTCAGAGAGTGCCTGTTGTGGGGAGGGGAAGGGGAAGGAGTTTGTAAGCCGCTCTGAGAGTCCTTTGGGTAGTGAAGGGCAGGAGGTATAAATCCAATCTTCTTCTTTTTCTTCTACCAAGAACCAAACCTTTGCTGGTCTTAAAGGGGCCGCTGCCCTCCGACTTTGTTCCGGAGGTCAAGGACGCGGCTCAGGGTGCCCCTGGCAGGCGACCAGTCATCACAGAACACAACTGGATTTTTTCCCGAGAAAGGTTTAGAATTGAGGAAGGGGAACGAAGGGGTACAAGAACTGAAAAAGGTACTCAAGGGCCACAAGAGTGGAACTGTTGTGTTTCAGAAGGACCCGGGTAAGAAGACTTGGCCGGAGAGGAGAGAAAGAGAAAGTGAAAGAGAGCCGAGCCCGAGCAGAAAAAGCGGCAAGTGGGTGGGTGAGTGGGTCGGAGGGGGGTAGGGGGGATTCAGAGAAGGGGAAAGGGAAGTTTTCAAGAGTGTTTGCCTATCCTCAGTCTGCCGAGCTGGGTAGAGTCCCTTGCCTGTTTTGGAGGCTGAGTGTAGGGGACTTCAGGAGAGCTTCCAAAGGAAGTTCGGTGATAAGAAGGTTTGCTGGTTCCAGAGGAGAGAGGAGTGAGGACGGTTGCCAGGCCTGAGTTGGAAATACCTGGAGACTTTGGGGGGGGGGGGGATCCGGGAGAGGGCGGGGCTTGGGGAGGGGAGGGACCTCTGCATGGTACAAGGCCATGCGGCCCGCCCTTCAAAGCCGCCATTTTCTCCAGGGGAGCTGATCTCCGTCAGCTGGAGACCGGCTGTAAAAACGGGAGATCTCCAGGCCCCGCCTGGAGGCTGTGGAAACTCGAGCTGCAGCGTTTGAAGAGTCAAGCAACAAATATATACACTGCAAAAGCCTTATTTATAAGTTAAAGTGTTATATATGTTCCACCTTATAAAGTGCATTGTGTATTATTCATAATAGTCTAAGACATGCAATATCTATGACAATCATAGACGGAGCTGCTTAATGGGCCTTTTGTAGGACCAGCAACAAACATCAATTTAAACTTCAATGTAACCACAAAAGGACACTTCCCCCTTTAGAAGACTTTCAAGCAATGAGAAGCCGTGTACAACTCTAGAAACTCCTGTTGGGGGTTGATCGTGTAAAAAGGATGTCAGTTGACTGGTAGCTATTAGATTGTACACACTGATTATTATTGTTGATATTGCATGTAATGAATATATACCCGTTTTAGAATATTATGAATAATACACAATGCACTTTATAAGATGGAACATATAGAACACCTTAGCCAGTTTGGTGTCGTGGTTAAGTGCGCGGACTCTAATCTGGGAGAACCCGGGTTTGATTCCCCACTCCTCCACTTGCACCTGGCTGGATGGCCTTGGGCAAGCTGTAGTTCTGATCGGAGCTGTCCTTGAAAAAGAGCACTTTCTGTCAAGAGCTCTCTCAGCCCCACCGACCTCACAGAGTGTCTGTGGTGGGGAGGGGAAGGGAAAGGAGTTTGTGAGCCGCTCTGAGACATCTTTGGGTAGTGAAGGGCGGGGTATAGATCCAATCTCTTCTTCTCTTCTTCTTCTTAATGTACAAATAAGGTTTTTGCAGTGTATATATTTGTTGTTTGACCCACCTGGAGGCGGGCAACCCTAGCAGTGGGGGGGGGGCGGTCTCTGAGCCAGGGTGGCAAGGAGATGGCACAGGTCTGACTGGCAGAGACAGGAGCCGGCACAGGTACAAAAGAACAACAAAGAAAGGATTACAGAGTCCAGGAATTCAGGGTGAGTCCCGGATAAGAATCTGTGCATTTCCTGGTTCTGACCGGGTTAGGGGGGGTCCCCAGAAAGGGAAGGAAAGGTGCATGCATCCAGGCAGGGTGGATGAAAGGGCAGGTGGGGTGGAGGGTGGCCCCATGGCCAAGGGTCAGCAGGGTCAGTACAGGTGATCAGCTCACCTGACTGCTTGATATTAGTTAGGTCTTGTACTCAGGAAGACCGGCATCTGCTGATGGGTAACAAATTGAGAGTCCAGTGGCACCTTTAAGAACAGCAAAGGTTTATTCAAGATATGAGCTTTCGTGTGCAAGGTACACTGACCTCCTGGAACCAGGGGTCATTTCCTGCAGGACCGCACAGGAGCATAGCTCCGGCAATAAAGAGCCCAGGAGGCGGGCACATGCAACAAGCCCTGCCCCCTGCTCCCAGCAGCCCTCAGTCCGAGCAAGAAGCAGCCAGGTAAGTTGCAGACCCCCCCCCCGCCCCCCCGACCAAAACAGTCCAGTGGTACTGTAATGATTCCTTGTTTTATATGTGTGTGTGTGTGTGTCTCTTTAAAAGTTTGGTTGCCTGGCTGTGTGATAGAATAGAGTGGTTGAAGAGACAAGTGTGGTGTGATTGGTGATTGACAGAGAGGGGGAGGGGTTTTGGAAGTGTTTCTGAGTGGATGAATATGTATGTCTGTCTGGAGTGACAGTTTTGAGGTTTGACAGTTGAGAAGTTAGTTCGTTCTGAGGTCTGTGGGAGAAGCAGTCTTGTGTGTGATTAAGAGTAGTTCTGATTTCTGTGAGAGAAGCAGAGAAAAGTTCAGATAGGTCTGTGTATGAAGGAAGTTAGAGAGAATAAGAAAAAGTAAATGAAAGCTTAATTGAAGACAAAATATAGGAAAGGCTGTATGTCCTGTTAAACTGGAGAGTAACAGTGAGCTTATAAGACCTTGAGTTAAAGTTACAAAGTTACCTTAAAATCCCTGACAGAAAGGGAGCTGATCTTGTGTGAGACACCAAGCAATTGTTGAAAATATTCACATTACTGGTTACATTGTTATACCCTTTTAGTTATGAATTGTTTCAATAAATCTTCTTTTATTTAAGTCTGCCAGCTCTGAAAGAAATAATTCCTCAGGAAACACATAGTCCCTCATGTGACTTAAAAACTTGACCTACCTATCCAGTGATAGCCAAAAGAAAGTATAAAGGTTTGGAAAGCCTAAAATTCCCTGGTGGCAGCCTAACCTACCCAGTTGAACAGAATAAAAAGAACACTTTTAAAGAGAAACCTGTCCTCGCCATATAAGGGGTCGTCACAGATACCTTTAAGGTACAAGCTCCCACTCCTCTGCCAGGACAGATCTGCACGTTCCCCCCCCCCAATAGCTAGCAATCCAAAACAGTCCAGTGGAGCCTGAGCGGTGTGTTGCCTTCTGATGTCAGGGGGCGTGGCATATGCAAATGAGTTATGCTAATGAGTTGTGCTAATATGCTCCTGCACCTCTTCTTCTAAGAAATGACCCCCGCCTGGAACTATTTGCTGATGAAATTACCTTGCTAGACCAAGGTGGGGGATTGGCGTGGCATGCACCTCTGGCAATGGGTAGCCATGCCAAGGGATCACACATCTCATCACAAATAAGCTGTGGAGTCCCGTGAGCAAAAATTCTACTTGGTGAGCTCCTGGCATTAAAGCTGTGAGCAAGTGATTTGTTGTTGTTGTTCAGTCGCACAGTCGAGTCCGACTCTTCGCGACCCCATGGACCAGATCCTGCCAGGCCTTCCTGTCTTCCGCCGTCCTCTGAAGTTTGCTCAATTTCATGTTCGATGCATCTATGACACTGTCTAACCATCTCATCCTTTGCCGTCCCCGTCTTCTTTGACCTTCAGTCTTTCCCAGCATCAGGGTCTTCTCCAGGGAGTGCTCCCTTCTCATTGGGTGGCCAAAGTATTTGAGCTTCAGTTTCATTATCTGGCCTTCCAGGGAACAGTCAGGGTTGATTTCTTTTAGGATTGACTGATTGGATCTTCTTGCAGTCCAAGGGACTTTCAAGAGTCTTCTCCAGCACCATTTTAGCCTCCAGTTCACACATTTTTGTTTTAGCTCAGGAAGGATGGCTCCGGAGCAAACTAATTAATGCAGTAGCCAAATTGCTCACTCACAAGTTTTAATGCCCGTAGCTCACAACGTAGAATTTTGGCTCCGAAAACTCCACAGAGGGAGCATTGGTTGTGATCAACACTCCCTCTAAGCCAGGGGTGTCAAACATGCAGCCCGGGGATCCAAATCAGCCCCCCAGAGGGTTTCTATCAGGTCCGCAGTGGAACTGGCTGTCTTCTGCTTCTTCTTCCCGTTCTGCTGCATCATCGTAGCTTTGCAGCTTACAGGTACACACCTGAACAGCACACTCGATTGCAACAGCACAGACATTTTGATGCAATGATTCAGAGCAAGAGGTGTCAGTTATCAGACACAAATAAACAAAATATTGCAAGAGTGCTAATGTTTTAAGCATATTTCTGAGTAAAAGAAACCTTTTGCGTTTGTGTCCTTTATAAAGTTTATATCTCTGCTACCTGGCATTACATTTTATGACACACGTGGCCCGGCCCAACAAGGTCTCATTTATGTCAGATCCAGCCCTCATAACAAATGAGTTTGACACCCCTGCTCTAAGCTGCGGAGTCTTGTGAGCAAAAATTCTACTTGGTGAGCTGCTGGCATTAAAGTTGTGAGTGAGCGATTTGGCTGCTGAATAAATTAGTTGGCTCTGGAGCCTTCCTTCCTGTGCTAACACAAAAATGGGTGAGCCGCAGGCTAAAAAACTGTGAGCAAACTGGCCCACACTAATTCAGCTTAGAGGGAACACTGGTGACCAATGCTCCCTCTAAGCTGTGGGGTCTTGTGAGCAAAAATTCTACTTTGTGAGGTACTGGCATTAAAGTTGTGAGTGAGTGATTAGGCTTCTGCATAAATTAGTCTGCTCTGGAGCCCCATCCTTCCTGAGGGAAGACAAAAATGTGTCAGCCGGAGGGCCAGTTTGGTGTCGTGGTTAAGTGCGCGGACTCTAATCTAGGAGAACCGGGTTTGATTCCCCACGCCTTCACTTGCACCTGGCTGGACGACCTTGGGCAAGCCCTAGTGCTGATAAGAGCTGTACTTGAAAAAAGGGCAGGTTCAACAGCTGTGCCAGAGCTTGTGACTGACCCAAGGTCACATCAGCAGGTGCAAGTGGAGGAGTGGGGAATCAAACCCGGTTCTCCCAGATTAGAGTCCGCACACTTAACCACTACACCAAACTGACTCTCTAAATCCAATCTCTTCTTCTAAAAAACTGTGAGCTAGCTCACACTCACTCGGCTTAGAGGGAACACTGGTGAGCAGTAACCCTTCTTTGTATTTCAATGGATATAATATATAGTTTTGAACATAGCTGTAAATTGTAGATGGACTTCCCTTGGTGGGCATTGTTTGTGGCTATACCTCTACACTAAGGGTACCCTATTGTTTCGTGCGCTCCCTTAAACTGGCAGTGTGTGTGTGGGGGGGGACTTGGGTCTTCTCCCCTGCCCTCCCGCTCACCCGCCTTTCTCTCCCCCTCCCTCCCTCCAGAGGAGCCCATCCACTGGTTCTCGCAGGTCTTCTTCTGCCAGAGAGACTCCCCGTTCTTCGGCTTGGCCCAGGGTCTGGATGACGACCAGCTCTTCTGGTTCGACTTCCCCAATTCCAGCTGGCACGCGCGCCTGCCCGACTTCGACCCCGAGGTGCCCAGCCGGGTGCCCACGGCCAACGTCAGCGCCCAGCGGGAGCTCTGCAGGGATCTTCTGACGCTCCTCTCCAACATCTCCAACAACCCTGAGGTGCAGTTGCCTGAATCCAAAGGTGAGGACGGCTGGGGGTGGCACAGAGGACCCAGCGACAGACCCTCTCTAGGACTCGTTTGACGGTCCGCCCTGTGGTTCTGGGAGGGGAGCCATGCAGAAGAGCTGGATTCGAGTTCAGTCGCACTTTAGAGCCCCGACGAGATTGGGGGGTGGGCATCACCTTTTGAGAGTCGAAGTGGAATCAGATGAAAGGGACACTTGAAGAGAGAATCATAAAATCATAGAACGTTACAGTTGGAAGGGACCTTGCAGGTCATCTAGTCCAACCCCCTGCACTCTGCAGGAGCGTAGCCGAATGATAGCCCTACAACATACCCGAAAGATGGTCGTCCAGCCTCCTCCGCTTTATGCACCTCCTTGCCCAGGTGGCTCGGAGGTATGGGTTGGGTTGCCATCAGTACGCTGATGACACCCAGCTCTATCTGATGTTGGGTGGCCAGTCGGATTCCAGACCGGAAGATCTGGACCGGGCGTTACAGGCCGTGGCTGGTTGGCTTCGGCTGAGCCGGTTGAAGCTAAATCCGGCGAAGATGGAGGTCCTGTGCCTGAGTCGTGGCAGTGCAGGGCTGGGGGCCCTGCTCCCGGCCTTCGATGGGGCACCGCTAGTTCCAGCGCCGGAGGTTAGGAGTTTGGGGGTGCTCCTAGATGCCTCCCTGACACTGGAGGCCCAGGTAGCGGCCACTGCTAAATCGGCCTTTTATCATCTTCAGCTAGTCCGGCAGTTGGTTCCCTTCCTTGACCGCCGCGACCTGGCGATGGTGATCCATGCGACGGTCACCTCGAGACTTGACTACTGCAACGCTCTCTACATGGGGCTGCCCTTGTCTCAAATCCGGAAGCTGCAGCTAGTGCAGAACGCCGCGGCTAGGCTGCTGATGGGCTCCCCACGGTGGGAGCACATCCAGCCAGTGCTTAGGTCACTGCACTGGCTGCCTATAGCATACCGGATCCGCTTCAAGGTGCTGGTGCTCACCTTTAAAGTCCTACATGGCCAGGGACCGACCTACCTGAGGGACCGCCTCTCCCCATATGTACCCCAGAGAGTACTACAGTCTGGGGCCCAACACCAGTTGATTATTCCGGGCCCCAAGGATGCAAGGCTCACCAGTACCAGGACCAGAGCCTTTTCTGTGGTGGCTCCTCACTGGTGGAACGAGCTCCCGGAGGAGATCAGGGCCCTGTGGGACCTTTTACAGTTCCGCAGGGCCTGCAAGACGGAGCTCTTCCACCAGGCCTTTCAA